CAATGGGAGTGTGCTCCGACATGTAAGAGGCCATTAGCCGACCATGAAATATCGAACTGTGTGTGTGTGTTGATATAGAAGCACGCGCGTTGATCTGATCCGTTCTATTCTCTTTTTTGCCGCTCTCTCGTTTACTCGGACCGTTCACACTGTGTCCACACTTCGAAGGAAAGTTAGGACAACCGATGATTGATTGATTGATTGATTGATTGAACGATCAATTGAGCTCGGTGGACAATTGGTCGGACAAAACAAGTCTGCGCATGACATCGCCTTCGCACGTATGATCACAGGCGCGAGGGTACTTACTCATAGATCGGGAATTGCTGAACAGAATGTGGATATGGCTGTTTGTCTTGATATCCATTACCGGTTCTCGGATAAGCAAAACAAGACGACACAATTCGATATGGCACTGAGACAGACAGAGAGGGAGAGAGAGTCAATCATATTGAACAAACCCCTGCTTGAGTCGCATCGATTGCAAGCTTGGCAAACGATGTGCAATTCGTTATTTTCGTCCAAAACATAGCGTTGTCGTTATCCGGTTCAAGACAAGTCAAGTCAGAATTTGTGATGGGAAATAAGTTTATTGACTACGGAAATAATTATCATAACACAAATGTCTTACTTCTGTGATTTTTTTTGTGTATTGGTTATCGAAATATATAATAAAACTACATGAACTACATGCGGTCATACAAAAGCAGCCTGAAGAAATACAGACAATGGGAAGATACCCTACGGAGTTCGAACTTAGGACCTCCCGGTGGTTACTTCGACAACCTTATCACTCGACCACTGCTTATCGGAGCTGTCTTCTTCTCCGATTGGTCTTGGAAACAGTTCTGGACTGCTGTTTCGACCTTTTTGGATTATCAGTGATCAGCACTATTCTCATATTCCAGGTGTGATTCGAACCATGAACCTATGGACTGAGGAATGAGCTAGGCCGCCAACATGTCTGACAGAGTCGAAGATTAGTTAGCTAACCAGAGTGGGAACCTTGTCAATATGCTTGGACCAGGAAAGACCATACAATAAGGTACAGCCGCCTAATTTCTCCCTTGTCTCTGTGGTAACCCTTTGATTTTCAGCCGCCCAATCCTGAAAAATTACTTGTATGCATGTATTTATTGTGCCTTAGGAGATAGAAAATATGAAAGCACAAATACCAGTATTTGTTTATACTGATGCAATAAATAAGATAACGTCTTTTATCTCCTATGATGTAACCATTACTTTCGTTTTTGTATTATAGATAACTTGTGCAGTCAACTGCGCCCACATTTCAGTCAAAAATGTGTTCACCGTTACAATGGGATAAAAAATGAAACGAATAGAATAGAATAATGATAAAACTTAAACAGGTTTAAAATTAGTTCGTTGCGGATCTTCACCGTGTCAGTGAGAATACGAACCAAATAGTTGCGGTAAATGTTTATGCGTGAGGGTAAGAAGCGAAAATTAGATCGGGTTGTACTGCGTGTTAACGACAAGCAGATAAATTGGGATTGAGTGGATGACCGGGGTCATTGAGTATCTTATGAGCGAAATTTTCACATGAAGTGATATGCAAATTAGACAATTTTGTGATCAACGTTTTCAAAGTAATAAGAGTAGCACGACTGATAATTACTAAACCGCAACGTAGAGTATTAAAGTCATTTCAAAGCGGTCCAGGGAAAATAACGGGCGAACAATAAAGTATGGCAGGAAAAATGCATTGATAAACAAAGGAACATACAGTTTCGTGCTTCACTGGAAATTGTCGTAGCTTGCCTATTGGAAATTATGTTCAATCAGAGAAATCCCACAGCGCTGTTGGCAACAATCCTTTGTGTGTGTGTGTGTGTGTGTGTGTGTCATGAGTTGATACACTGATAGCAACATTCACTTTTCTTTTCATTTTACTTTCTTTTATTGAATATACAAAGGTACAATCTTCAGGAAGGGGGAAGCGACCAATCAAAGGGCTGCCATTCAACACACACAATGGGGAAAGTTAGGCGGTGGTGGTGGGACTCGAACACACATCCCCGAGGGTGACAATTTGATGATGATACCACCGGGCTACCACCGCCCGTTCCGATCATAGATTAAGATATAATAGGGTTTCCTATTGCAATCGAGGACGTAGTTATGCGATTCACTTGATCTGTCAATCGCTTAGGGGCAACAGTGGTTATTCCTTTAGTCTCACCATTTACTCTGTTTAAAAAGCGGATTCAAATGTTTTATTCCGTATCGTCCTGATGCTGAAACAAAACAGTCTCATAATTTGACTTTCGATACAATAAAAAGAGCGAACTATGATTCTTATTTCATTTTGTAAGGATAGATTTGACTGAAATATTTTTCGTTCAGTCCACCTATCTGGACGGAGTCACGAATAAAAGAAAAGAAAAAGGCGAACGCTTTCGATTATTTTGAATTGGACACATTCATCCGTTTACTATGTGCATACACTTTTACTATCTGTGCTCAAATGGATCAACCTATTACCAAACTGATTCACCGATGCGGTCAGGATGGTGATAATATAATGCTATCACTCCCGTTCCGCCCCTCTACGAGGGTCCCTCACGTGAGCTTTTGCGATTTGCGACTTTATCCAATCTTGTCTGAACAATATCAGTGAACTCTGCATAATTTTATACTCTCTCTTTCTCTCTGTGTGTGTGATCATTTGCTTACCCTCGTTTAATGTGTGAAGAAACTCCTGGGTCCAGCAGTTGTTTTAACGGATTTCACGAAGAAAAACGCGATTTATATAAATATATATATATATACTTGTGTGTGTTTATACGCATGTGAATGTATGTTTGTGTAGGTTTGACAGCATTTGATTTTTCGTTCGTTTGTTTCAATCTGAAACCACGTGTTTCATCCGCGTCCTTGTGCAGATGCAAAGCTATCAGTCTTTGCAAAATAGAAACAGGGGAAAAATACACGGATGAACAGGTAGCACATTTGGCGCTAGGTTCATTTCAACAGAGAATAACCTGAAACAACGGAGTTTCTTTTGCTATCTACATCCAAGTGGACTAGAATCGAGAATTTGTTTGAAAGTTATTCAACCGGAGACACCAAACACATGCGAACCAATCGCATGTGTTGTTGTTGTTGCTACGGTTGTTGTTGCGTAATTAAATCGATCCGATGAGTGGTAGGGTTTTGTTTGATGGGAGAAGGTGTTTGTGACGGGTGCACAATTCGAATGTTGCCGTACCTCTTGTTCCATCCCCGCTCCCGTTGTTGGACGATATGGGAATAGTCTGTCAAGATCGAAACGTGATTTGCACAACTGGAGTGCCTCTTGTGAAAGATCAACCCGTTCCGTCAAATCCTCGGGTTGTGTAACATTTACCAATGCACCGGAAGGTTCATGATTGCTTGCGGATAGACCACTGGTGTCCGCCATTGCACGTGAAGTCATTGGATCATTTGAAAGATCTAATCCTTCCTCACTGTGATTGCCGGATCCGGGAATGTAGGGTGAATCGGGTTCCGCTCCGCATGTACTACTCGACTGGTCCGGATCCTCCATACGCATACGTTTGTATTTCGTTCGACGATTTTGGAACCAAACTTTGACCTAACCATGAAGAGGAAAAATAATAGATGGTAGAGGGTAAAGATTAGGCTGATAATTCCGTGCAATCAAACAGTGTGGGGCACTAACACATATTAATACAACATTAATTCTGCTCATAACTGGTCGATAGCGGTATCGGTTTGCAGCGGGAATTATCTTAATGTGAAGCATGCCAAATAGCACATCGTATAGATCAATTGTTTAATTTATGGATAGTGAACGCAAGTCGGTGGTGAAACTTGCACATAAGAAGTTATGTTTTGCTATGATCCTGTACGTATTGTTCCAGTCTTCCGAAATTCACAGTGAGCGAACATCACCAAGCGGCCTATGCGTACGACCAGATTGTGTGATAAGCATTATTGATAGACTACTGGACAAGATACTCATGGAACTCCATTAATTGTTTTTCAATGTGGATTACTCATTATGCATTTGTATCCGATATTTCTCACTCAAGTCATTCTCATAGTTGTAGCCCGTTCCGGCTTTACCCACAATCAACGTGTTTACCATTAAATATCAACTTTAATACTGACAGTAGTAATGTTTTACCTGCGTAACCATTTGTGTGAGCTTTTCCCTAAATTAATTCATGCTAATGATGAAGATATATATATATTTATATTAATGCGATGGAAATTTTTGTGATAACCGATAAAGAGCACTGAACAGTTGTTTCGTCATGTTTTGGACTCGTCAGGACTGTCAGGACTCGGACCGCGAACATTCGGGTCGGGACTTCAAATCCTTACACGATCGATGGTTCTCACTTTGTGCGAATGGCTAGATCGATTTTAGAATATCTAGCTTGGATTAGCCTATTCGATTGTTCAAAAGTACTGAACATTCTTGATGGACTTAGGTGTAGGTTTCACCTCGTGGGAGATCGTTAATTGCCCTGAAGGTAAATGCATTTAAATACGATTATTCGAGTCCTAACAGAGGTACAAGAAGAACGCACTGCTGACGAGTCCCAAACAGGACGAAACAGCTGTCCCGATGCTCTTTGTCGGTCATCACAAACGTTTCCACCGCACTCGAATGCATTTAACTCGTGCGGAATGAACTATCTCCCGAGGAGTAAAACCGACACCCAATACCTGATACCTCTGAACAATCGAATAGACTAATCCAAGCTTATTACTCTAAATTTGTATTAATGTTTTCATGTTAACCCTGGAGCTAATACCCCCTATTTGTTAGTGCTTCAATCGAAATTGCACAGTCTATATTATTTCACGGATAAGCAGTATTTCTCATTAACACTTGCTCAACTTTGTCGCCGACAATCATTCAACCTCTCTTGGCAAAGGTTCTACATCACTATTCTGCTAGACATCACTCACCTATTTCACACACAGAACTGAAACAACCTGTATCCACTTCTGTAACTAAGGGTCGTTATAAAGTTGTGTATACTCGTAACACTGTCTACCGTTTGTACGTTATCCCATATCTTTCGAGATTTCTAGCACAACAAAGTATTCGTCAGAGATAACTTTTTCAAAAATCCTAGGTAAATGATAGCCATTTTACGCCACCTTCTTCTTGAATTTACGATGCTGTATTTTACTGTTGCGCTGCGTGGCTTTGTGCGATGATCAATGACCCTGGTATGTCTAACTTGACTTGATTTGTATTTCAAATGCAACTATGCAAGTACATTTCAATCGAAAACTGTGCTCACCGTCACACACACACGTTAGGCACCAGGTACTCTTGATGGTCTTGGGAGATCGTTAATCCAAGCCTAATACTGTGATGTATACCCGACTATTTTTCATGCTACTGCAGGATGAATGAACCTTTGGGTTTTAGCAACCTATCAGTTGACCGTGGAGGTTGACTGTATGGGATCCAAGATTCGCATACAGTGTTAGTATGATAGACGTCACTTAGATTTAGGGAGCAATTTTTATCACTAAATTTGAACATCTGTCTCTTGGTCCAAACATCAGAACTTCACGTCATGACTACCGCTATGCTAACCCCAATTACAGCATCTCGGTCTCAAGGTTGACCATTTAAACTCCCATTTCCAATTATGCTTTTCACACGGGTCAATCTGGCCCAGACACACTAATAACATTATGAAATATAATCATTAACTAATATGCCACTAATTAACTGTTAAAAAATAGAACTGTCCAACTGTTAAAAGACCTCTAGAAGTGAAGATGATTCAGCGGTGTTGAAAGCAAAGTGAAAGATATGAGCATCAATCACTCACCTCAGGCATAACCTGTCCCACTAACAACCAGTATTCCCTAATGAACCCAACATTTCACACACAATATTTGGATAAAAACAACAAGAGTTTCATCGAACAATACAATAATCTCATGGTCTATATCACAGACCAGAACAGCTTAATTAATTAGTTGGGGGTACATGGAATTAGAATTATCCACCACCCTGCCCATTCTGTACAGAGTCATCAATTGATGAAACAGTTGTGCATCAGACCTTAATTACAGATGGAGAAGAGGGTTTAACAAATGCCCAAGTGATAAGTTTCACATGCGTGCTTCCGACAATCTGCATCCCAAAATCGGTGCCTCTCAATTATACTGTCTCTCTCTACCCTCTCTCTCTCACACACACACACACACATAAAAACAAAGCATATCAATCTGTCTCGGTTCATCCCGCTCAGTGTTATTGTTGTACCAGACCTGTGACAAATTTTCCACCGGAAAAATAAAACATACTGATAGAATGTTTGCTATCTATTCCCTATTCCACTGCACGGATTTCATCCCACCCCGGTCGCGCCGCGCCCCATCTTCTTTCGCTTTTCTGACGGTTAAGGAAGAAAACCGAGAGATAATATCGGTCATTATAGAATATAGAACAAACTGTAGTGAACTATGGAATAAGACAAATTGGTGGTTGACCTTTTCCACATCACCCCGATCATCATCATCCGTATGTCAGAATCACCCGATCCACCCCATTACCCACCCTTACCCTAACCCAAATACGACTGTCACCTCCGACGAAGACTGCTTTCGTTCGTCTTTTACAGGCACACAAGAAAAGTGAACTGTTGGCTTCATTATGGCGTGCTGAACGCGCTTCCGTGCTTTAACTCAGTCAGTGTATATCTTGACAAGAATATCTATACACCGCTCAGAATCCGATTCACTGTCCTCCAAGTTAAAGTCAAACATGATAGAACAACAACAACAACAACAAGAATAGGGGATTCGTAATATCCGTGACCATCTGTCGCCCGCTTACTGAGCCATTTTGCGGCGACTGAGCACAATCAATGCAGATGAGTAACATCACCCTGTGTGTGTGTGTGTGTGTGTGTTTATACGCCGACCACCACGAGGAGTTTTCGCTTCCGTTCCACACTGGACCACGTCGAGTTTATTCCGGGGTTGCACACGGGGATGGTAATGTGAATTCGAAAGAAAAACGGCATCGCGTGCAACACAAACACTTATAGATGGCCCCCAGATTAACTTGTCGTACGATACGCGAACTTGAAATCGATCGTGTAACTAGCTATCAACCATTAGTACAGACATTGCACTGCCCTGTTGGTGAGTCGTTCTATTCTTTCCCACAACTAGAGGGAGAGTAAATAATACAAAGACACAGGGAGCTGCCCGAGCATCACGATATGAACAAAAATGAACAATTTTTCTGTATCTTGTCGATTTTATTGTGTCTTAATAGATGAGGTTTGTGAGTGTGCTTTTGTATCACTTAGGAAGGATGAACGTGTGAAGCTGGATGCGCAAATGGTTGTACGGTAGATTGAAGTGTTTTATATTGGGATTATCAAAGTTCAGTAGCCTCGGGGGGATTTGAATCCACGCATTAACGCCACCTACGCTTTTTTACAGCGCACGCTCTACCAGCTGAGCTGCGAGAGCAGACCGATAGCACTGATCTTTTCACATTCGAATTACCCATCCAACTTAGGGAGGCATACGGCATTCATCAGTTAGCATGTAAGCTGACTGCCTCGACAGACTTTCCTTATAATTCACCTCCAAAAGCCTCAGTATTGTGTCGAATGTTTGGAATACCCTGCCTGCTTTTCCCCTGTCCGTAATATACATGAAACCAACCAACTTAAGTGACTACAGAAACCGACTAGTCTGAAGAAATACAAAGGTTTATCACGAATGACCAACTAATCAAAGTACATAACCATTTAGAAGCGATGGAAAGATTTTGGATAACCGACAAACTGCAGGGGACAGCTATTTCTATCATAGTTTGGGACTCGTCAGCAGTACGCATACTCTTGTCTCCCTGTCAGGACTCGACTAGCATACATTCGGGGACTGAACAATCTCCCAAGGAGTCAAACCCACACCCGACATTCTCAACAGTTCTTGGTGACTGAGAACAATCGAATGGGCTGTGATTTTTAATTACATAATCATTTACTTCAGAATGGAGCTTGCATGGGAACAATTGTCTTCAAAAATCATCCCCCCGCCGTGTTGAGAGCCCCTGTGTGCGGACGAAATCCCGGATTCATAGAAATGGATCCATGATCACCGTTAAATACCGCCGCTTGAATTGGAATACCAAAAGAATGTATCTAGGGGGGGGAAATACAACCGGCTGATAAAACCTGGGTGAAATTGGATTGATTTGTTCCACAGGTCGAATACTTCCACTGGCTGCGTCAGCGATCTTTAACAGTTGAAGTGCTGGTTGAAGTACTTGGTCGACTTGACAAGCAACTGAGTACACAAATCGTTAGTGGATTAAAATTTCCAATAGAATATACGTTCAGTCTACAGTCGATCAAGATGCGTTTATATAGGTTTCTAAATTTGTCTTAATTTTGTATAATAGCGATCATCCGGGAATTTATCATTGTTCAGGCGGCTTTCAGTGATCGTGTGTGTGATTTGAAATCTCCCCTGGAAGTGTTGATGTACCACATACGCTTTTGTTAAATTGAGATGACTACTCACTTGTGTTTCCGTCAATCCGAGACCCGCGGCCAAGTCTTTCCGTTCTTGTCCAACAACATAATGATTTCGTTCAAACGTGTTCTCCAACTGGAACAATTGAGCCGGTGAGAATGCCGTACGAATTCGTTTCGGTTTACGCAGATCGGGTGGGAAGAACAGAGTGGACTTTCCTCCGGCTTCTAGAATGGAATCTGACAAAACGAGAATAATGTGAAAAGTAGACGCATATACACATGCACACATCAGTCATATAATGTCAGCAGCGACAAAAAATGTGCACCGGACCAATGTTTTCACTTGTCAACGACCAAAACAAATCACTGTATGAGAATGTTTTATCGTCAGAGACCACTAACAACTCAAAATTGTGGATGAGTACTAACTACCAAGAATGAAACAGCTGTCCAGTTTCAGTGTTCTGCCATCAAATGCAACTTTTGTCGCACTCAACATTTGCTGTGTGTGGGGGGGGGGAGGCGAATGTACGAGAGGACAAAACGAAAGATTCCTCTAAGCATTAAAACCAGTGCTTGGTTCCTGTGAAATTCAATCAGCTAATTTGGACACAACAATATACTACCCATGTGTTTGCTAACGAATGCGATATGCATCCATCAGTCAGACTGAACATCCACTCCGAGTTTAGGAAGGCAGAACAACGAGTTATCAGCCGATCGGACGAGCATGATGAGTATTCACTCCAAATGATAGAACATAAAAAAATACACACACATATATATATACATATAAATGGTCTGTATAGGGATTAAAATGATCTCTCAACTAACACAAACTGTCAACGCATCCGGTTATTGCACTCCCTATCATATTCTGTGTTAGCCTAATTTTTAATTCACAAATTACAATCTGGAATGCGATGAAGATCAATATATGCAATACAACCGTATTTAATCCTGCTCTGATCAAACCCGACCGCATTCGTCGAACAAACGAACAACGGAAATGATCCTCATTAGATCGGGGAATCCTCGATGTGATAAACTATCTGTTAATCTTGTTTATCAGTTGAATCTGAAAATCATTAACCAGAACTTGTTTTCTCCAATATGTACAATTTTCCCAGCTAAGATTAAACAGCATGATTCCTATCTCAACATACCCTATCCCCATTTAATTGGCCCAGTGTAAAACTGTGTGAGTCAAGTCCCATCGAGTTGCCTCGTCTATGCACATAATCATCTAACCTAGGACATATCATGTACTGAGCCGGTATCCCTAACCCTTATAAAATAACTTGAATATTGTCCGTTTTTTATGGTATATCATCTTTCCTTTTGTTGTAAGTTGTTCTGTTTACTTACAAGCACACAACGTTCTCGGCATCCAGTAAGAACAGCCATGTCAAATGCTATCGATTGGGATTGGATGCCCCTCACCACCACCCACACACACACACACACACACACACACACTCGTTTTACGATCCATATCAATCTATCTGCCACGTACGTGGATCGGACATAAAATACAATTAACTCGATTTGGGGGTGATGAGGGAGTCTAACTAGCGGAATTCGACAAACCAACGGTTCAAGCACCATTGTAATTTCAAATCTGTTTGATTTGCTATATTACCCATGATACATGTATGTCAAAATTAGCACAGACTGTTTCGGACTAGTTTTATTTGTTTATTTTTTGGTGACAGAAACCAGCATTTTCAAGTTTACTACGTTCCGGTTGGCATATCAACCAGTTCTATTTTCCGTCAGATTATCTCAAATCCGAAACCTGGTCAACAATTTGAAAACGGCCCGTCACCGTCGGAAAAAGGCCAACACTTATTGTTCAAGAATAATGCTTGTTGAGCGTCGAAACCAGATCGTCAGAGAAGTGCATCTTGTGTCATGAATTCATCTGCCTAGGCACACTTCATCCACAGCGGACGTGGGAGCAGGGCAACAGTATGAGTGTACCGTTGACTGTGTAGTATCTGTTTTGTGACAATTCTAAACCGACAACCGTTAATTTCAATGAATTATAGCAAATTCAGTACCAGTATGAATGATTAAATGAAACAATCTACGTAGCTTCCAAACCCACGCCGGTTGATATTGTTTTTATTATGCATTATGACACTTGACACTCAGTGACAAATGAAACGAGAGGAGTTTCGATCATTTTCAACCTCAGCACAGATCGTGGATCGCATATCGTGGACATATTTGTCCTTTACTCCCGGAAACAGATGTGCTGTCTGACTCTATCGCGGTAAAAGAACGTTTGCCTCGGTCCGCCAACTCTATTCTGATCTATCTATTACGTAACAGAGTGCATGAACATACTTCGCATTAGGTTCCAAGTCAGATGACACCATCGGGATCAAGCCCGTGGTGTAGAAACAACGGTCGAAACTACAACGCTCCGTCATCCGCCATAGCTCGATATCTTCTGACGACTCAGATCGACCAGATCGACCGAAACACTGCGTTTCGGATTAGCTACAAGTCACGAATCGCAAGATTGCTACGGTTTGCAGAAGTGATTGCTATCAGTTAACAAAAAAAACGTTATACTCGTTTGTCCTTACCCTGGTGATATGGTCCGTTTACCTCTCCCCCTTTTATGTTTGTCTCTTTTATTGTATTCTACTTTTTTTGTTGCCATGTTATATCCCTACATAAATATTGTGCTTCGGGCAGTATGCATACCATGTTGAGATAGAACGAAATTGTCCTGGACCTAAAAGTCATGGAGCATTGCGATATGGTCTTTTCTTTTGAAGTTGTTTAGTTAGAATCAGAGGAAGGAAAATCGTTTAGAAGCTGAACCAAATGGTAAACGTGAGACTCACATGTGATCTGGTGGAATAGGACTATTTCAAATGGGGATACATCCAGATAATCATTCTGTTTATTTTATTTTTCCGTGTTCTGTTGAAGGGTTTTTTCATGTGATCTGAAGTGGCCGCTTTGTGATCCATTTCGCTGCTGAAAGCCGCAATGCATTCCATCAAACATGCGCTGATCGTTCGTAGTATAGCAATAGTATCTCCAACTTGTCCTATCCATTTTGCTACAGTAAGCGTTTTGCAGTCACCTCCCCCACCCCACCCCACTCCTCGGTCCTCCACATCACCTAATTGCATCATTCACTTTCCCCAACTAACCCATTCACAGGTATCTAAGTTCCGTTCAGATACAGGTCAGATACTCTCTCACTCTCGTTCTTTCTCCGTGTGCGTGTGTGTATACGTGGATTATCATCTCCTTTGTCCATTGCCTCTATTGCCCGGTTGACGTGTCGCTCTAATCAAGTTATGCGTACGACGAACATTAATCTTCACCCGCGCTGTCCACTACTGCGCGTGTGCGGGAGAAAGAAATGACTTGTGCGTGTTAGTGTGTGTGTGTGTGTGTGCCGGAGGGGTTTGGTCAGGATCGAGCAGAATCCGGTGACAAGCAAAGTGAGTGAAACGGCAAATCAGGGTGTGTTGTGAATTGAGAAATGCAAGGGACGAATAGTAGTAGTTGTTGTTGTAGTATGATGATGATAATGATTAAAATTTATGGCTCACCTTACTATCAGACGTATTATCAAGCAGCACTTTGTCATTTATAGATTATGTCCTGGAGTGTAAACATGCATAGAGAATGTCCCTGGCATATACACACACACACACACACACACGAACAGGGGAACACGAGGAGGTTCGTGATACGATTGCGTGCATCCGACAGAGGCAATGGACAAATCAACTCTGATCTGGACCGAGGAACGAAGCGAATCAATTAGAGAATTGTGGTTGACTGATCGTTGAAACCCCAGCCACGAGAACAACGTGTAGGTGGAGAGAGAGAGAGAGAGAGAGAGAGAGAGAGAGAGAGTGGACGAAAAGTGACTAGGGCTGAGCCGGTGAGGAGGGGTGAGGAGAAGAGGGAGAAAAAACGCAGTGATATTCATTGTGGGAACATTTGCACGAGTACACGCGCGCGCACACACACACACACGCACGCACACACACGCACACACAAGGGTGTATGTCCGTATATCTAGCTTTAGTGATTGTATGCATCTATCAACAGATTCGGGGTCAATATTTCGGGCTCAATTGTACTTTTGTGGTAAGGTTGGACATACGCACACACAATAACTGGACTTCCCCATGCCACGAACAGAATTCGCTCTCGCACTCTCCCCAATATACGTGAGTGATATTGTCACACGGTAAGTGTCTGTCGCATCTTAGCCTCACTGCTGAGGAAAGTGAGTGGCGGGCAAAAACTGAGTTCCGAGCAAACGGCTGCTCGTATAAACATCCACCATTGCTTATGCGTGTGTGCGTGTGTGTGCACGCGCGCGCGCGCGCGTCCGCCCGTCCGCCCGCCCGCGTCCAAAAGCGGCACACTCCACCACCAGAGTAAATTGGATGACCGCTTCGGGCTCAATTTGTCAACAGGCGTACCTATTGTGCGTGTCAAGGCCTCATAATCGTTTCGCGGATGCTTTGGGTTGATTACAGACTAACGTCCAATGCCTACACATTCGCATCTTAACTTATCACATACTCCTCACAGTCCGATGCACTCTTTCGTATCGACGTGAGCAATTCAGCTGGGTGGGGGTCGGGGAGGGCGACGAGGCGGAGGGGTAGATTGAGAACTTAGCGTCAAACGGAATGGAATAACAGCACAAGCGAAGGAAGGATATACGGTTATATGAGTACGGGTCATTGACTTGATCTCATTGAAATGGCTAACTGCCACCACCTCTGCACACCACACCCGAAGTGGAGAGGGAACACCAGCAACAGCAGTAGCAACAATATCATCACCACCACCACCACCACCACCCGTTATCCCACTACTGTCAAATCTATCTAAGAGTCCCGCAATCATCTCATATAACTAGGCTATTATTCATGATTATATTTCTATTTCTTCCATTCGATCTACTCAACTGGGATGAAATGGCGCGCAGCATTTGAGCAATAAAGAGGAACATATCAGATCGCAAATGATGTGCTTTACTTCGTCATGGTCAATCTCTGGATGGACGTGCGTGCACAAACACACGCACACACACACACACATACAGATAGACGTGCCTGAGTATACAAGTAGAGAATAACTGGCGTGGGCACAGGGTAGACAGAAAGACNNAGGGTGACCGACCAAAGCGTGGAGAAATAAAATTGACACTGAGTGAAACGGGAGGGGGGGGAGTTATT